CACTGCGGCACGCGGGCGACAGAAGGGGGAATAAGAAGATGATAACCGGAATTACAGGCACTGCAATTTTTAGCACCAGAAATCTACACTCTCAGAGTCTTCATGCTTCTTGAAAAGTCCCAAGCAGTTACGATTGCAACTGAAGAAGGCCTTTCAGACATCAATACAACACTAGTGCCCAGTTATGCCCCCCCCCCCCAAATCTAAGTAAGGGGGTACATACCTTTACTGTATAATGCAACGGCTTAAAACATTTTCTGTTTTCCAAGTATAATTTGTCTATTTAGGATATCAACTGAGACTTCAAAAATCAATGCAATTGTATTTTCATCAAAAAATATACATATCCAATGCATACCCGGTATTGCGCCTTTACTTTTTTTACTTAACCAATTGAGACATGAATACGTAAAAGAAGTATTCAAATATAATTAAAAATCCAAAATCTTTTACAAAGTGTCAACGCTCAGGGAAAAAACTTAACATATTAATTGCTTTGAAAAATACAATCTTTCGGTATGGCATATTTTAACATTTATGGTGACCGTGACACAGTGACCCCGAATATCTAAGTAATTAAGGTCACTTTTTAGGTGCAATGGAGTTGTTATATGCGAAACAAGTAAAATTAATTTGTGAATGAACAAAAAAAAAATATGCAAACTCGATCTAACTTCTCATTATAACGAGTAAGTTATCGCGTTATAACGAGTTAATTTTCTCATTTTAACGAGATAGTTATTTTGACATAATGAGCTAGTATCTCGGTATATATAAAATATCGTTATAACGAGGGATAATAATATCTCTGTTTAAAGAGTTAGTTTTTCGTTATAACCATTTAGTATCTCGTTAAAACGAAATAACTTACTTGTTACATGTATATAACGATTTAAGAGACATTCCCTGTAATCATTTAACTTTTCCGGCACGCATGGTCATCGATTTCCACTAAACTTTGCTCATTGTTAAACCTTGACACCAGAAACATATATCAAACAAAATTTGGTTGCCAAGTGTCTTGATTGCCACGATAACAGACGAATAAATTTGGAAAATTGAGATTTTCAACAACTTTGAATCTTAACTGAGCCTTAATTAAGTAAGACTAAGAAAACCAAATTAGCCACTCTCACAAAAAAATTCACCTGTTGCCTCTTAAGCTATAGAGAAATCATTTAGAATATATCTCTAAGTAACTGGTTACCATGGATTTATTTGGCATGCATTTTTAATGCTTGAAAAAGCTTAATGTTCACTAGTGACAGGTTTTACAATATAAAACTCTATCACTTATGTGGAAGCTTCTTGCATCCTGTTAGAGATAGTGTGTAACCAGAATTAAAAGTCAGGTAAGTTGTTTATAAATATCAGTAAAAAATAACGGTTTTGGAAATTTACATACAAGGGCAAATATTCAAGGAAACAATTTTTTTTTAGATTTGTGTATTTTTCATACAATTTCCAAAGCAACGCTCTATTTTTGAAATAAAATTTAATGCTTTTGAAATGTGGAAATTTAGAGCAAACCTTTGCCTTTAAAAATATAGAAATGTGCACTGTTAAAAAGATAAAAACAGATGTAATCACTCAGAGATTTAATGTGAAATCACTTTTCGGTATTACAACTATTGCCAACCAATAAAAAATTTCCCATTTCTTCCTTAAAATATGTTATAAGGATCTTTGTCTGTTATTTGGTTGCATTTCAACTTATAACCGCTTTCATTTTTTGAATGTATGACTGATCTAAACAATAAAATTATTGCTTTTCAAAACTTTGTTCCCATGGTAACGTATGTAATAGTTGATTTCCCAACTATCTGAATCATGCATATAAGACATCGAGTTTTTAAGTTTTGGAAACAGTCACTGTCACTTGTCTGCATTGTTGCAAACGTTATCTATGGGACTTGAACATGTTTTAAAATGCTATTTTTCAACCTTTAGTGCAGATTCCATGGTAACCATGACACATACATTCAATTTTTGAGTGAAACAAGTATATGGTATCCAAGACTTTTATCATAGATATTTTGGAGAGATTCTGTGACTGTGCGTGCCATGGCTCCTATATACATGTAAGAGTTTAAGTCGTAATAACGCGATAAAAATTCAGTAAAGTCCGTAAAATGTGCCTAAACAAGGAGTGTGCTCTTCTAGTCCCCCAGAAAAAAAATGAGAATATTAGGGGTATTCGTGACTTTGCAATACGGAGAGCAAGTTCCGATTCTTGTTATGACTGGGGAGTCTGGGAACATGTTTGTCTTGAGTTGAGGAATGTGGAAATTAGAAACTGAATTGTATCCTACACGTGCTGCATATGACCTTTTTTAATATGTTTCTAGATAAAAGGACTTTGCGATCGTCCATTCCTTGTTGATAAGTTTAAAAACTAAATTTCTCCAACCTATTGTTTTAAAACAATTGAAAGACTCAGAAGATAAGCAGATTAACTTTGCCAGTGTCCAGCATTTTATTGTACTTTTATCTGCAACTATCTCACTATATTTCTCTATACTATTTTACAAGGGGAGCAACTCCTCCTGACCATGAACAAGTTACAACATTCATATCTATATTTGCCACATTGTATAACAATATAAAATGGTCTGCCACATTGAGGCACCTCCAAACATTTTAAATCATATTTCACATTCATATCAGACAACAGTAATACAAGTTTTTTCAATGGAAATCATTCATACAATACTTTCATAATGTTTAAAATACATAAGAAAGCTTTTAATATTACATTCTCAGGAATTTGATTTCAATAATCAGGAAATGAGTATCATGGCTATGTAATGAATGATTAAAGAACACATCAACTGAACCATAAAATTTAAACATACCAGAAAGATGCAGGAATACAATTCATACCCGTCCTAAAATTAACTTTTTTTATGTTCTATTAACAAAAAAATAATTTAACATTCATCCCAAATGAACATTTTTTTTCAAATTATTGAAGTAAACTAGAAGTAGAGACACAATTTATTACTTTAGTGGTTAAAGTTCATGTTAATGAGACAAACTGAATGTAATACAAAACAAAATTATTGCTTGTTTTTGTGAGAAATGTCTCAAATTGTTAACCAGGAAGTTTTAACAAAAATCTTTTGCCAAAATTCACTCAAGAACATCAAAGAACATCTTTCATTCAATTAATTCTGAATTTCAATTCTCTTCAAGAGTATTCAACAAAATTATGTCCATTTCCTTAAAGTAATATGGTCCGTAACTTTGCATACATTTCAACAATGAAAAATACTTAACAAAATGTACTTTTCTTGTAAAGTTATAGTGATTCTAAAAAAGGCCACATTTATTTATCATTTCAGACCTCATGGGAAAAAAAGAAATGTTTCCTCAACATATCTCAATATACTTGTCAAAATTAGTACCGGTAATGATTTTCTTGAGAAAGTATTTTTTTCATGAACGTAGAACCACATTATTTTCTTACAACATAGTCAAAATTATACACAATTACAGACTGTATTACTCAGGATTACATATTAAGTTATTAACTAATATCTTTTCTACTATGGTCAAAGTAAATTCTAAAGTCTTTGGAAATATGGTACATAAACAAGTAATTAAAACAGATTTTAAGTTTTAAGGCAGTCATTCATTACTTTCCAGCAATCATCCTGAATTTAGTGCAATACCTGAAGCGTACTCAGGACCTATGTCCACTTATCACAGCTACGTTTTCTGCATGGACAAAATGAATGAAAAACACACATTTATTTTAGATATGTACAATAAATTTAACGTCCATATGAATACAATTAATCAAAAAATGAAAAAATACCATAATTACATAATTTCATATATTTCTGTAGTGAAATTGTTTCTTTATCTAAAAAAAAACTTCATTCATGGCAATTTTACTTTTAAAGCGTTATCAAAAACTCATCTAAAAGAAAATACTGGTACCAACATTCCATTTGTAAAATAGAATCCCCCCCCCCCCCCACCGCCAAAAATTAAATGTGCTGTTTTCAATAATAACAAAGTATAAAAATGAATTGTAAATTAACAGTTGATAATGTGAGGTAAAATTTTGTCACAACTCCATATTTGAGGACAATGTAGTGAAAAAAAGAGACTGTTATTCTAAAAAATATTTATTACATGTCATTTACAAACACTGCTTAAATAATTTGCCCTAATGTAGCTTTAACCCCAATTGTATTTAAGTGGACAAAACATGACAAAATTTTTTTTGGTGGAATTTTAAAAAAATGTTCAATAAAAAAAGCATTAAAAACAAAAATTCCAATTAGTTTTTTAAATTGATTACTATTCTTACCAATTAGGTTAACCAATTTTAATTGCCTTCCCCAATACACACAAATCCTAACAAACACACATACAAGTATATGTGAAATTCAACTTAGCAGCCTAAAATTGGAATTTTAATATAATGTATCTGTAAAGTGTTAAATCCATTGACATTTTTAAGAGTAATGAAATGCTTTAACCAATTTTTCATTCAGTACAGATGTGGCTTGCCATTTTAATCATAATTTCACACATGCGTTCCTATGCTACATGTGAACTCTGCACTATATGTTACATGTATTTACTACCTTCTAACATCTAATAACAAATACAGGTGTGATAGTTTAATATTTAACTTTAATTTGGAGTCTTGAAATTGTGTTGGAAGAATTCCTAGCAACTAGTACATGGCATACCATTGATCACAGTCAATTTCAGATTTTATCTCTAGTGTTCCGAGAGAGCATTAACAATGGCCAACAACATATATATGGACTTTTGAAGTCCCTTTCTTCTTAAAATCACAGCATAGGGTTCTATCACATCAAACTTACTGGCACTATCTGATCAGTTTCAAAAGAAAAATTGAATATTTTGTTTTGTACCTGCAATTGATGATTTTAGAGCTCATCACCAATATCAGTGAACAATGATTCAAAAATAAATCTATTAACTCGATAGTGTGCCCCCCCCCCCCCCCCCCCTTTCTTACCCATATGAAAACATGACATACATGTAGCTTACTTTTGTAACCATTGAAACAGTTTCAAATTGAAGGTATTTTTTAAATGGATTTTTTCTGATAAAATCATAAAAGTATATGACATTTACAATGAAGGGGATGACATTTAAACCTATATAAAGAATGAAGTGTGATTTTGAAAACAGCTGTAGGTGATTAAATGCCTAATTATGACTCTGATATGGCGTACAGAATATATCCTAATCTGCATCACACAACAAAATCTTAACATACAAAAATTACAATATTACAGTAACTAATAATATAAAAGACATGATATTATTTCAGAAGCATTACAAAACTGTCAGACATAGTATAACTAATTCTTATTGGTTTGAGAAAGAATTAGTACGTCCTGATGCACCGCAGCTGCCATTTAAAACATAATAAATTTTTTTTCATGGTACATTATAAATTTTATGAAATCATTGCACCAGAAACTTTCACGATGAATTAATTCATTCATACAAATATAACATTCTTACACTTATGAGAAAATGAATCTGTACTACTCCTTTTTCTCATTAATGGACAAATAGCTTGCAATATCAGTTGAATTTAGTAAACATGTGTATCAGTTAATAATAATCAAAATCTTTAAGACTTCAGTTGAATGAAAGACCAACCTATGTGAAAACAACACAAAAACACTTGAAAAAAATCAATGACATGATTTCAATCCATGAAGCACATGGCAGGATCTAAACAAAATAAAAGGAGAGCAAATTTTGTTTGGTCTAAACAGCTCCAGAAATTTGTTTTTATTTGCAAGGAATAAACAAACTCAATCTGAATTTAGCAGTAACCTGGCTGTTCCTTGGTCATTCTTCCCACCTCTGCATCTCTCTGCTTGTTTGTCATACATTCAACATTCTATCACAGCCCAGTTAAGTAGGCTGGCTCTGCAGTCACGCACTATAACTTGTTGCTGGGTAAAATTTACACACTAACACACATGTAAAAGTGATATTTGTCAGTCTAACATGTTGTAAGTTTTGTGAATGTTCCTGCTTAGCACTGACCTGACATCATTACAGAATCGTAATGCATCCAGCATTGGCAGTAAACACAAAAGTGACGTATCTGTGGGATCACTAAACCATGACTTTATAGGAATTGCATTATCTGAAACAGAAGAGTTCACTTTAAAAATATAGACTACAAGTATATGGACAACAAAACTACCAGCCTTGAGAAGTCTTACACTTCAAGTAGTTCAATTTTGGTACATGTATTATACATTGCAGAACACAGGATAACAGGACATGTACTATTGCAAAAATATTTTAATAAAATATTGCTTAATTATCCAAACATTAGGAAACAAAGTGATCTATAAAACCATACCTTCATAATACTTATATGCTATTGGGGAATTGTCTAGTATAAAAACACTTGACAGATCTTCATTTATCTCCAAAAGACTCTTGGTATAGCTACCTAATTCAAATCGACAATGCTGCAAATAAGAAAAAAATTACAGTGTATTTCAACATCTATCACAAAACAAATAATCACAATATGTAAAATTTCTCCAGAATACAGAATTATTTCTTAGAACTAAGAATGAAATAAAATTTATCCACTTTTTATTTTTTTATTCTCTTATGAAAGATAACTCCTATATAAAACACAGCATGCAATAATTTCTAATGTATGGGAAAACAAATCAAGAACTTTAAGGAAAATGAGAAAATTAGTACCTACTCTGTATTATAAATCACAAAAATATGAAAGAAACTGAGTATAGCTGTCCTAAAAATATTCAAATACTAATGTAAATCCAGAACATCAAAGAATATTTGAAGTTCCATCCAATAAATGGCATTCTAGGAGAATGAGAAATGGTGCAATACACGTTCCACAAATACTGACTTATTAAAAGCATCGACATCACTAGAAATCTGATAAATACCTGTCTATAATATCTCCTCCTTAGTATATTTCTATTATTGTCTAATTTGTCTGCCACCGCAGAGCCATATATTTCCATACTTGCTGTAAACACTACAAGTTCATACCACTGACTAACCTATACATAAAGAAACAAAAACACATGGACGTATTAGCAAATCAGCTTAGTATACATCTTTTATACAGGTTATGATGAGATGAATATAACTGTGGGGTTAGTGATCTAACAATATTATAATGCTTGCTAATCAAAGCCACTTTAAATTAATCAAAATGTTAGTAAAGTAAAACATGTTAGGCTTGCAACACTCCAGAGATTCTTTTATTACATTTCTATGTATATACCCAGTTAAAATTTCATAACTTTGACCTACTTTGTGGCAAAATTTAATGTTGTTCTAAACATAGATTTGTCTTTGTGTTAAGCATGTTTTACTGCATTGTGCTGTCAATCAATCACTATGTATGTAAATTTACAGTTAAGATGATTTGCAGTGAAAGATGTATTACTATATTTGTTTTTTGAAAGTTTGCATTTATCACAACAAATTTATACATGTAGTTGATTATAGACAAGCTAAATATTGTTTTATCTGGAAAAACAAAGTTTCCTACCACTTCCAAAAAGTAGTCTACATGTGGTCTTTTGTGAACAAAAAATCTAACAGGATGTCTGTCTATATTGACCTGCAAAATTTAAAACAAAACATAGAAAAAATTCTACTTTATAGCTACAAGTTTGGAAGCATTTAAATCAAGTTAACTCAAACATTTACTTCTTTGAAATCAATAAGCCTGCATCAAATCCACAGACTGCCTCATAATTAAATCTACATCATTTTTAAGAGTTATTACAACAGTTTAGGTTATACATTTACACACTTTTAGAACAAAGTCTGGGGGTGTTCCTGGCTTCACAGTCTGTCGTAGGACTCCATCATGATGAGAATGAATTAATGTTTCATCTAAGTCTAGAACTAGGGTTTTCTTTTTCAACATACCTATGAAGAAAGAAATGATAGTCAATTTAACAATAAAAAAGGAGCATAATAATAACTTTGAAAATCCAACATCTCATTAATAATTCAAGATTAATACAAAAAGCATACATTAAAACCGACCATTATGATGATTTTCAATTTTAGATTTAGAAATACACAGTTCACTATTCTGATGGCAAAATATAGCTGATGTTCTAAGTTGGTATAAACAAAATTTTTAATGAAATTATGTTTATTAAGACTGTAGAAGAAATTTTCAGGGGCTGAAATTTCACTACGATCTGAAACAATTACTTGAGGACTAAATTTTGTTGTTGGTGCTCCCTATAAGATAAATGATACCATTTCAACTTATTTCTTTAGGAGTTTAAGTCAGTTGATAAATGTAATCAATGAACTAAAGAAAATTGAATCCCTGAAGAATATTTCTGCTTATATAAATATTTACTTGTATAAATTACAAAAGTACTCACTGAGCCGGTGTTTAGAGAGAGGGGACAGTGGTATAACTTCATATTTCACAGTCTGGTATTGTATAATCTGTAATGACAAGATACCACAGTTCATAACCAACATTACATCATTTCCTCATTAATGTCTACAACACATACAATTTCAGTTGCCAAGAATTGCTGATGCACAATAAATTATGTTCATCATTGAATTTTTATTATAATCTTTTATAAATAAGTTGTTCTGAAAGTGAACGTCTTATAGCTATTTTATATTAATGACTGATATAGACATTCTAAATTAATTGAAAGTTGAAAATCAAGATGGGCTTTTTCCATCATAGCTTACTTAAATTCTATAGACATCTTTCTTCTGACCTCACTTTGATTACTGATAGTGAATTTCAGTATTAATATGCTCCCATAAAGACTTGCATATTTCTGGTGACTATTATTTCATATAACATGACATTTACTTTTTACAATTGCTGAAATTCCATTCCATTAAAGGAAACTATTATATAATATAATGGGAATTCTGTAAATTAGCAGGCTTAACTTAAACCACATATACACATGTAAGGAGTCCAATTTGGAAAACTTTTTTTCCTATTTATGAAAAAATATAATGATTTCAATCATCTAATTAGATCTTGGATTGTGGATACCACTCAGGTTTGATGTAAGAAACACAAATACTGTATTGCTATGACAGTAGTAATCCTATCAGTGAACATTATCAGGAGATCAAAGGCAACCAATCACAAAATATGTCTTGTATGCTTTCAATTGTTTACAATTATGTTTGGCATACTGCATATTGCTTTTACAGTGTAAAAAATTGTTTACTCAGAGTGATAAGTTACATGGTTAGCTTGATGCATTGGGCAGGTAATCTCATCTTCAGGTAGCATGGGTGGCTGCCCAGCTGCCAATCAAAACAAAAGATAGTGCTTCTCAACTCATTCACAAACAGCATGGTAATGATCTCGTATCATGCACATTTTCAGGGGGATACATATATATTGTGGGGTCTTTGAATAACAACAGTATTCTTCAATTGAAATCTTGAGGGGATACAGAAACTTCTGAAAATTAGGTGTTCCTTTTGTTTTAATTGGACCACTTTTAAACCATATCTATTGTTTAAGTTGTTACTGAAGTTTTAGATTATTATCCTATAAATTCAACTGTCCTACATATTAACCTACAATGTTTATTTTCTTTTCTGTTTACGAAATTTTAAGCTGATGTCATTTCAAGCCTAAATCAACTCTCTGAACAAATTACAAGCTTTGACAAAATACAATAATTAATTCATATATTTGTTTAACATATGCGCAATCGAAATCTTATATTTTTTCAAAACTTGCAACAGGAACTCTTACAGATCTTGCTTGTCTTTTGAAACAGTAACACAGAAAACTCCAAATCTTTGCTGCCAGCAAGAAAAAACCACGTAATCCCATTACAATGAACTTAAGCATGTGTGTAGATTTTTATCCTGCTTTAAGTATTGAGCCGCTGTGCAGATATATCATGAAGACGACTTTAATTTCAAGGGCAGCCCGCACTGTCTCTCTTCGCAATGATAGGCGCCATTTATTTCCCAGCATGCACTGTCATCTTCGGAATTTCTTTCATTTTTGCCTATTAAAATCGAAAACTCCAGATTAGTATCGAAGGTCCCTAATCCCACACGATTTTTCGCAAATGGCGTCAGTAGTTACACAAGCACTGAGGCATGACAAATTAAATATTACAACATTATGGATGTAAATGCAGCAGTTGAAAAGGTATATTTTATAATATATATTTTTTGTATTTCCTACTTACTGAACAAAGCTTGAATTTTCACAGTTTTATCTATTTCTTTGCATTCGAATTTCCTCAGTTATCAATTTGTACTTTTCTTTCAATATTGTTGCTTTAATAACAATATAGATATTAGGTTGATGAAAAACATAGTAAATTTCTTTCATTTCGTACGTTATTAAGTTAAAAAATTAATTTTAAAATAATTTTGCTAATATATAGATATAGACCAAGATAAGTTAGATGTAATGGGACTGTTTGTGTTCCTTGCTTGTTTCCTTATTCTATTTGACGTTTAAAAAACTTTGTAGAACACAATATCGTTTTTTTTTTCAGATTTTATGGGAAGCCTAGAGGGCACATTTGACACAAAATTACATGAAGCAGTTCGATATGGTGACATAGACGAGGTAAAAGTAGCACTCCAGCAGGGTTATGACCCAAATCTTATTGGGTTGTACCAATGGAGTGCACTGCATGAGGCAGCAAATAATGGAGAGTTGGACATTCTAAACTTGCTCTTATCAAAAAAAGGTAAATTTAGTTAGAATGATTTAACTGTGTGTTCAGGGGTTAGGACAGACCCTCATAAAGTTAAAATACATCGAATATAGTACATGTAGTTTCAATGTACCAAAATGCAATGGGTCTGCTTGTTAGAATCACCTAGAATACTAGGAATATGTATAGTTTTAATCATTTGAACAAAACACAGCCAGTGCTCCAAACTCAATAATTAGAGCACTTGACAATTGTGGGGTGTAAAAGTGTTAATTTTTAGTAGTTTATGAATTAATTAAAAATTAAACCCAATAACCCATGTCAGGCATGTCTCAACCATACTTAATTATTTTTAAGCTGCTTACCAGGTTGTAAGGGACATATATACCCCATGGCATGTGATGATGGAAGCTTTTGTGTCCTCAAAAATAGCTAAAAATATAATATAGAATAAAGCAATTATTGTGTGATGTATATATTATTCTTTTAAAAAATGATACGTGTATATAATTTTCACTATAATATTAAATCAGGTGACCCTAACAAGAAAGATTTGTTGGTGGGTAATACAGCAGTTCATTATGCGGCACAAGAACACCATGTCGAATGTCTGCGTCTCCTGATTGATGCAGGAGGATGTCATGACATAAAGAACAGCGAGGGCAAATCATGTCTGGACTTAGCTGCAGGAGAGTGCTTCAGTATGCTGGAATCACTAAGTAAGTTTGGAAATCTGTTAGTATTTCTTTTTGACCAAAAAAAGATTTAAATCAATTATGTCAAGTACTATTAAAGTTGCAAATTCAGAGAAAACAATTTTATGTAGACTTTCATGTTTAAAATGTTTTCAACAGATGAAAATGATCAAATTGACGATGAAACAGGTTTGTTCATCATAGTTCTGTTTAGTTGTAACATGAAACTTTCAGTAGTGGTGAAATGACATAACTTATGCATATAACTAACATTTTTCAGAATGCTAAGAGAGTATATTTACCAGTAGTTGATTGCTTCTTTAGCTCTTCATAAGTTTCTGTTTTAATTATTGCAAAACTTCAGAATAAGACCAGATATTGGTTTATACTGTCAGTGTAGAATTAACACATTTCATAAGCGAATATTTACATTTAAGGAAATAATGTATGTGAGGAATAACATGTACTAGTAAAACTGGCATGATCATGATGATGTTAATAATGTCATAAATGTATTAATTAGATAAGTATTCTGCATAAGCCACATATGTCTGCTATATAATGAAAATTACCAAAGGATTTCTAGCTTTATCATCAATCTAAAGGACAATCCAAAGAACTTTCATTTGCTACAATACTACGGTGTTTTATTAACAAGCTTTTAGAAATTCATCAACTGGTTCATAAATAATTGTGGTAGTAATGTGTCAATTGTGATTCACAATTTAAAAAAGTAGAATTTCTCTTGTTTTATGACACAGGAGTGAAAGAGCTCATGGTCAAGTCAACAGAGGAAGTTAGAAAACAGCTCCAAGAGGAGACTCAAGATCAACCATGTGACCAGTCACATGTCTCATCCACAATAGGATCACAGGTAGCTGAAGATGGACTGGCAGAAGACATCAAACCACCAGGTAATTCACATTTACAAAACTGCATATACAAACACTCAAAGTACCAGTAGTCTGCATGATGCTTCAAATCCATTTACTTTAATAATCTGATCAGGGAAGCATGAGACTTGTAACCTTTGATAAAGCTCACAGTATTCATAGCAATATAGGTTATACCTTCTTTTGTATGGTATCAAATGTTTTGATTCAATTTTACAGCCATGGGTTATCTTCACCTGACATTTGAATACCACTCACACAAGGAAACTCTGAAAATAAAAGTTTGGCAGATAAGCGATCTTCTACTTCCTCCCCGTAAGTTCAATACTATGATGTGTATCAGTAATAACATTTTCAAACCACATGGATTATTCACTATTAAGTTTCACATCTTTTAAGATTACTGCTTGAAGTAAGACATTTATTTTATTCTGCAGCTCAGACATCCAACATTAATTCCATATATGTGAAAAGCTTTCTGATGCCCGACAGAAAAAAAGATTCCAAGCGGAAGACAGAAGAAATAAAAGTTGATCGTTCTGATGCCCACATCAAATCCTCTCTCTCACCCACAAATAAAGGAGGTATTCAGCATGTTTTCTCTCCTTCCACTTTCAAGTTTTCCAAAAAGTTAGAGTATGAAGGTATCTCTGCTTCCATGATTAAAGAAAAGAGTGTCCAGATAGAAGTCTGTATTACTCAAAAATACAGCAAGAGATCTTTTCTCATTGGTATGTTCCACATGTCTCTAAAGGAGGCTGTCAAAAAAATCGTCAAAGAGAAATACCCTCTAATTCCTTGTGTTAATCATACTATTCCTACCAACATGAGGGTATATTGTGCTTCCGAACTCCAGATAACAAATTCTGCAAAAATCTTCTATAGTAATCCTGATTTTAGGAATCTGTCTGAAAGTGATTTGTCAGAAATTTCTGACAGAGCAGCGAGTGACCCTGATCTTAAGAAGGTTACTTTCGCCAAAGATGCCATTACTCCACGGAATGTTGTTTTGAACATTGGTGAAGAACAAATTGAAGAGCAAGATGAAGTAATGGTTATGGATGTGGGACAGACTGCTAGAATTGCAGTTCCTGGGGAGTTTGTAGAGGAAGAGCTGAATGAGTCTGGTTACAGTAGCATCTCAAATGTGATTGAAATGACAGACATTACAGATGATGTGGCAGAACGAAGCAGAAAATCGGCCTTTTCATCTGTTGTGAAATCTGTCAAAATGAAAACAAAGGTTGAGAGTTTAAAAGACACCAGCATGTCAAGGACAGGTGACTGCAGTGTCCCTATAGAGGTGGAGGATTTGAAATATAATGAGGTCAAACACAAGTCTGGGCCAAGACCAGAAACTCCAACTTGGGACTATTATGATTTCTCCATGCAGAGTGTTGAAATCCCACTGGATGAGATTAGGAGTCCAAAACAAGGAGATGCCCCTGTATGTCTTCCAATGGAAACTACACTGGGATTAATGCATTCCAAAGGGAAGAAAATCAAGAAACCCAAGGCAATCAGGGAGGAAAGAAAGGATATAAAAAATGTTCCAGTAATAGTTGTGACTGACTCAGAAAGTGGGGTTTCAAGGTCATTGGACAAAAGTTTAAAAATTAAGTCACCTAGGGAGGAGGATAGGATTGAGGTGATCTCCTCCAAAGCAAGAGGGAGCCACAGAAAGAAAAAATCCAACAAAGAGAGTGTATCTGTTGATATGGAATCTTTTAGCAGGCCTAATAAAACAAAAGATGGAAAATTCCTAGTAACTGCTGATATTCATTCCCCTAGTGCCAAGACTTCATTTCATGAAACTTCTATTGATATTGGTGATACAGACTCTGTGATAATTGATTTAGAGAATTTAGAAACTGAGTTAAAGAATGTGGAATTATCTGAGAAAATGGATGACTCTAACACTACCTCAAGCCATGTTGTTTCCATGGCAACTGATTTGTCATCAAATCTAACAGCCATGAAACCAATCCCACAACAAGTGTTTATCGATGATAGTTTGTACGAGAGCGGAGATGATTCCAGTGAAATGTCAGATTTTATATTACCGTTTGTACCATTGACAAGTAAAAATGATCATATGGTCAGCGAAGTTTAATGCAACAAGAATTTTGTTGTAATATAAAAAAGATGTAATGTAGATACATGTACTGAGAAAGATGGCTTTCAGTCATAGTTAAATTTTGTGTGAAGCTTTTAATTTGGCATATTTCTGATACTCTGGAGCTAGGAAAGGGGCAATCCTTTGTGAATCATTTTCTTAAGGAATGAGAAAATGCCTCTTTAAAGAATGCTAGAAATTATATAGAAACTCTGTTTGATTATTCTTTTCTTATAAAGTTTACCTTCTGGAATCTTTAGAGACATTTTTTGCTTTAAAATTCTTTTAGTTTTAAGTACAGTGTAAGTGTACTACTATTTTTAAATCAAAATATAACTTCATATCCTATTATCTCCTAAATATAAGTCACTTATATTTATTGTGTTTTGTTATAATGTAGACATTTATTGTAGTGTACTATATATAGAAAGCAACTATGCAAATATGCCATATTTACAATCATACAAATGTTTTATCATAGATGTATATATATTTATTTATATATATGTATTTTTTTTCAAAGATGAGGGATATTTGTATGATCTACAAAAATATGTATATACATTAAGGTCCATATTTAACTCTATTGGTCAAAAGAC